TTTATCATTTTAAGTTTAAATACAATAGCAGAAGACTCCTTAAATAACAACTAAAATAAAAGACATTTCATAATAAGAGCCTAGTCTACAGACTTCCTGAAAGAACTTCAAAATCCACTAGTGTTTCCTGTATCACACTTAAGCACTATTGAATAAGATCAACATAAACTAAGACATTCAATATCTTCCTCAAGACAATTAAAAATACGTAATTCCATTCTGGACTCAGGGACAATAAGTAATTGATAGAGATCTCCCTTTAATTTCTAATAATTTCACCCAGCATTCCCAGGATTCTGCACATTTCTTCATAACTTCCCACCCCCATCTAGAAGACAGGGATAAAATATGAATCTTAACAGGAGTTACTCTAAAGGAAATGTAGATATTAGCCCTATATATGTTTTATTCACTCACTAAAAAAAGAAAAACTTTTTTTTTTGAGCAAAGCAGAAAATGGACTGTTGGCTGAGAGAAGAGGTGAATGAACTAATATTTACATAAGGGAATAAATAAATAAATAACCAACCTCTAATACTATGGCATAACTAACACATCAAAGAGTAGAATTCATTCTTAAGCTTATTATTTTTTTAATATGTGAACAATATGATTTGAATATAGAACCAAACATAGCACATTGTTCAGGATTATCTTACATTTATAATTCAAGATCCTTATAATCTCCATTAATACCTTACCTTTTTTTTCATATCTTCCTTTCTCTTTGAGATCTTGTCCATGATGATTCTTTCATTTCCACTTTCTAAATAAATAAGAAATAGCCTTAAGGATGATATATTACTGAAAGTATGATGTGATACTTAACATATGCTACTTAAATTTAAGTATGCTACTTAAATTTTTTAATTTAACTAGAAACTAAACAAAGAAATACACTATCACCTTTAGTATATAGTAAAAATTCAGGTTAATGTAATAAGACACATAAAAGAAGAAGTATAATTATTAGGAAAGGGAAGACAAAGTTATCATTGTTTGTAGAACATAGTTTTTTTGTTGTTGTTTTGTTCTTTTAAAAGATTTTATTTAGGGGCACCTGGGTGGCTCAGTGGGTTAAAGCCTCTGCCTTCGGCTCAGGTCATGATCCCAGGGTCCTGGGATCGAGCCCCGCATCGGGCTCTCTGCTCAGCGGGGATTTTATTTATTTTGACAGAGATCACAAGTAGGCAGACAGGTAGGCAGAGAGAGGGTGGGAGGAAGCAGGCTCCCCGCTGAGCAGAGAGCCCGATGCGGGGCTCGATCCCAGGACCCTGGGATCATGACCTGAGCCGAAGGCAGAGGCTTTAACCCACTGAGCCACCCAGGTGCCCCGAGGATAGTTTTTTATAAGTAGAAAACCCAAGACACTCAATCAAAAAGTTCAGACACAATTAGAAAGTTTTATATATATATATATGGAATATATGTGAAAGTTAATAGCTTCCCTATATATTAATATAATAAAGATCATTTCCATAATAGCAATAAAACAAAAACATTTTCAAAATACCTGGAAATAATTTCAATTAAAATATGTGGGAACCCTCTGAGAACAATAAAACTTTAGTGAGAAAAAATATCTGATTAAACATGGAGATATATACCAGAGGCAGGAAGATCAGTTAGGAGGCCATTATAATAGTCCCAACGAGAGATGCTAGAGATCTGAGTCAAAAACGGAAGTGGGAATGGAGTGTGGAGAAATCTTCACTTAAAAGGTAAAAGTCACAAGATTTCATGAGCAATTAGATGGTGAAGACAAAGTGAGGGAAGAACCAATCCAGGTGTTTGGTTTGAGTCACTGAAAGGTAGCATCATTTTAAGTATTGTCAAAGTAGGAATGTAGTTTGGGTAGGGATCAATAAATTTTTGGATATTCCTAATGGATGTTTATGGGATATTCAGGTGAGAAATCCAGAACATGATTAAAAATACTGTGCTAGAAGAGAACAGAACAGAAGAGAATCAGGTCTAAATTCTTTGTTTAATCAGTAAAAAGACATTAGGAAATTGATTTAAGACTTTAAAATATCTTTAAGATTCTTTCTACTAACATACCAAAATTAGGCACAATAGGAATATATCGCCAGGAAAAGAGAATTTTTAATTCACTTTGCATTCTGCAAGAATGTCTAAAACGACCTTCAAATCAATTCCTGGCTTACTGATACATACATCTGTAATTTTTATCTGCTAAACCCAGGGAAACATTAGTGACAGCACCTCCTATACATATCTCTATTATAATTAATTTAAAACATTATACAAGAAATTTTTAACAAAGGTATTGTTTTGCATATCTGGAGATGTTTCTAACCTGGCTCATTTATCATTTCATAAATGATATAAGATAAATAAATGATTATGGATTAAATAATAAAACTCATAAATAAAATTGAAGATCTGGAAAAAAATTGCATTTGCTTTTTTGAAAATTTTGCATAAGGAAAAATTGTGACTCAGACTTTTACCTTCTTACAGCAATTCAGCTCTCTTTATTGAAAAACTGGCTCCAACAGTTAAAGCCAATCTTCTCTTCAAGGTTATTGCTAATTTGTAATTCTTGCAGTTAAAGCTCTTTCTAAAGAGTAAGGAAATTGAGGATTAGCTATTTTTGTGTCAGATGACCTAGAGGTCTATAGTCAAAACCTGAGAATTAAAGTCTAGTTGTTCATTTAGCCTTTTCTGATCCAAATGTTTGCCTCTTGCTTAGCATTTAGACAACTGAGTTCTGTAAATTTACCCAATTGTGCCTTTATCGCTATGGTGATTCCTGAAATGAAATTTTATGTTGTGTATAAATTTAACACTAAATCACTTTGATTACTTCTGTCACATGCCATTTGGTTTCAGGAGTGTTAGAAGAATAAAATTACAGAAAGATTTCTAGCATATGGAATGGTCACAACATGCATATTCTGATATTTAGTAATATTTCTTAATTATGAAGTAACTAGGAATTTATTTCTCTTTTAGTTTTCTCCCAGCTCTTGGAAATCTTTCCAAATGTATTAATCCACCTACCTTCCTTAGCAGAACTGAATTCAGCCCCAAATCCAACTTTATCTTTATTTTAGTTCATCTATTGTCACATAGTAAGATCAGTCCTTTCTGAACTCCCTTATAGCAGTGTTTCTCCAGTCATGCTTTTCCATACTTCTTTGATTTGCATTGTGATGCTATACACAAAACTTAAAGTCTTCCTCCAAGTTATAGTAAAATTAAGGCAATGGATAGCATTTTGCCAAAATCAAAATTTATTAAATATATGGCAAATATACTGGTACTAAGGTACAGAAAAGGTGGAATTTAACAAAAAGATATTCTACAATTAGGTAAATATAACAGCATTATTTCACAATGTTTTACAGAAAGCATCATAACTTCCAGGTGTTTCATTAACTGACGAATTAAAAAATGAATAGCTTTTAGTTAATTATCATCTTATTTTCTAAAATAAAAAAACTAGGAACATGTAGATTGACAAAGGATTTTCTGTAACCTTATATATGTCTTTAAAAGGCATCAAAACTAAATCATCGGGGCACCTGGGTGGCTCAGTGGGTTAAGCCTCTGCCTTCGGCTCAAGTCATGATCTCAGGGTCCTGGGATCAGGCCCCGCATGGGGCTGTCTGCTCAGCGGGGAGCCTGCTTCCCCCTCTCTCTCTCTGCCTGCTGCTCCGCCTGCTTGTGATCTCTTTCTCCCTCTGTCAAATAAATAAAATCTTAAACAACAACAACAACTAAATCATCCACTGCACACAGGACTAAGCCCCCAAATCACCATAACCAGCTCTTATAGGTCAAGAAAGATTTGGGTTTACTTCCCTTGAGACTTCAGGTACATAGAGATTGATTAATGCCAAAACAAGTCACAAAAACTGTGGCATACTTTAAAAGTTTATATCTAACACACACACACACACACACACACACACACACAGACCATGTAATGTAATTTTGCCATTCTCAAGTTAATCACAGGATTTATAAAAATGTATTAATTCATGGAGCAACACAGGCCATGATGTCCAGAAACGGCATAGGTAAGTCCTGTGATGATGCGTTTTACTTAAACCTGACATATATCCCAGTGCCTTTACTTATGAGTCTCAACTGGAGAGAAAGTCAAAACGAGGCCATTCCTGAAAGTCAGGCCAAAGGATCGCCGTGTCTACTCTCCCACCTAAGCCCTGCTCACCACTCTCCAACATAAACCTTTGGTTATAGTCTGATCAACCTTCTTTATATTCCCTGCCACATTCATCCGTGGATTTTTGCAACTTCCTTCTAACCTAGAGCATTCCACGTCTCAAATGCTGATTCAAACCCCACAACTTCTGGGAAGTTTTTTCTGACTCTGGCTCTTCTGTGACCTCCAAAAGCATTGCATTATGTTTGTAATTTTTGTTCATTACATCCTACTCTGCAAGTTCATCTTTCTCCCTACCCTAAAGCGAGGACGAGAGCTGGGATCCACACTCATCTCTCCTCCACCAATCCTAGCAAGATGTTCAGCACAAAATAGGCACTCAATAAATAACATGGTCTTGGACTTGGTGCAAATCAAGCACTACTCTCTAATGCTGCAAAATGGAGTGTTTCTCAACACTCTTAACTCCCTAAGGGAATCACCGACGGGTAGGATAGGACTACAAGTCCCAGCGGCCTCTGCGGGTCTGTGTCTGGGTCCTGGGGGCCGCCGCCAGTTTAGTCCACAGAGCAGGGCTCCAACCAGACAAGGTATCGGGGTGTCTAACAGGGAAAGTCAGGGGGCTTTAACAGGAACTATGACATTCACCTGGATGGACAGTGCGCTCTTGCTATTTATGAGCAGCTAAGGCAGGACGCACCATTAACCACGGACTCTCCGAGATCACCAACCGCCCCTCAAGGTTCCTCACCACAGCGCCCGCTGCCCGCCGCTCGCTTAGCGCTCCCTGCTCTGGGACTGACGTCAAGGCCGTCTAGGAGCATGCGCGGTGCGGCCCCCTCAGCTGGCTGGGTCCCCGGCGAGCGCAGAGCGTGCGCCTTCGGGAATCTTCGGTGCGCTACGTCTGCTCACGCCGTACCTGCGCTTCTGACTGGAATTGAGGCGTCGGAGCCTGTCACTCCCGCTCTGGCCTGGGTCTCTAGCGCCTGCGGGAGCGCCAGCTGTGATCACCTGCGGCCCGGGTGTGTGCGCTAGGGGCCACAGCTCTCGGAGGTTTGTTCTGGAAGAGAGCTGAGAGCGCGGTGTCCTGGCGCGTGGAAACCCCGCACCTCTCGCGTCATGGTGAAGAAGAACAGTATCCCCAACGGGTGAGTACCCGGCCGCGAGCTCCCCGGCCGGCGTGGGCCCGCGGCGACAACCGGAGTGGCTGGCGTCCCCGGGGACACGCTCGCGAGCCCGCTGTCCGCGGTCCCGGTGTGCCCTGGGGTCTCGAGCCGGCGTGCAGGGTGGGCGGCGGGGACGGTGGCGCTCGAGCGCCCGCGCGACCCGCCGCCTGGACCGCTCCGGGAAAAGAGGGTTTTTTCTTGATTTTAGGTGCTTTGAGAGTGGCATCCCAAGGGGTGCCCTAAAGATGCCAGGAGTTTTTTTTTCTTTCCGGCGATTAGTGTGAGTGTAACCAATTCAGTACTTTTAAAAGCCTCAAATTAGGGGCGTTTGGGTGGCTCAGTCGGTTAAGCGTCTGCCATCAGCTCGGGTCATGATCCCAGCGTCAGCGGGGAGCCTGCTTCTCCCCCTGCCTCCCCTGCCGCTCCCTCTGCTTGTGCTCGCTCACCGTCTCTCTGACAAATAAATTAATAAAATCGTTTTAAAGCCTTAAATTAGGGCACGCAGGACATGCTCACTCGGGTCCTGTCGTCTTTGCTTCATAAACGAAACAGCTTACGTATATTTTTTTTCCCAGTGACTCACCCGGAGTTAAAATAACGAGTTCAGTGAAAATGTTCTGTGTTTTGAAACTTGGCTCGGGAAACTGGTGGGGCTGAAGTTAGGAGACTCGCTAGTAAGGAAAGCAGCGTGCGATGTGATGGAAAGGCTTTCATTCATTCAGACCTTCGGCGCGATTTCTAGCCGCTCTCAGCGCCAGGCGTTGTGCTTGGCGAAGGAACTTAGAAGGTGGTTAAAACTTCTAACAGCCTTGTATATTTGGGAAAGGGGAGGTGTGGAAGTGAAGAAAACTGCAGCGAAATAATGTTCCAGGATATGTTGGTACATTGTGGCATATGTAGAAATAGAACTTGGAAGTTCTGCTCACTTTCTCATTGGAGATATTTGCATACCGCTAAATGTGTCCGAGCCTCGAAAATTGTCATTCTGAGTAAAATCCTTGCTGGGTCTCCCATCTTGAATTTCTACTGTTCTTCTGCTATGGGAGTTTAGGAACAATGACGGTGAAAGAAGGAAAAGTCAAGTAATACTTCATTCAATAGAAAGATTATAGGCTAAGTAAAATATGAGTGCATGTGCAAATAATATGTAATCTGTGCTGTTCTTAAAGTCACGTAATTTCTGGAATTATTATACAGGGATACTGGTTTTGTTTTTAAAGATCTATTATTTTTATTAATAATAAGATTTATTATTATTTATTATTTAAAATAATAAATCTTAAAAACAAAAGTTGAGGGGAGAGGCAGAAGGAGAGGGAGGAGAACATCTCAAGCTAACCCTTCCTCCTCTGAGCTCTGAAGCCTGATGGAGGAGGGCTCCATCCCAGGACCCTGAGATCATGACCTTTGTGAAATCAAGAGTGGGAAGCTTAATAGACTTAACCACCTAGGCGCCCCAACAGGGATACCGTTTTTAAAAATACATATAGCATGGATTTACTGATATACTATTATAACTACACTTCCATATGTGTTGTGAAGTATGTAGGCCCAAATAATGAACAGGCTAAAGTGAGGTGGTGTAGGATTTGAGATAGAATACTCCACAGTTTGTAGTTTAGAGGGGTAAAACAAAAAAATCAACCCTAATTTTTTTTTTAAGATTTTATTTATTTGGCAGAGAGAGAGAGAGAGATCACAAGTAGGTAGAGAGGCAGGCAGAGAGAGAGGGGGAAGCGGGCTCCCTGCCAAGCGGAGACCCCAATGTGGGGCTCGATCCCAGGACGCTGAGATCATGACCTGAGCCAAAGTAACCACTGAGCCACCCAGGTGCCCCTAAATATTTTCAGGTTTAAAGGAAAATAGTATCACTCCAGCAGATACCTGGATACCACTCAGACTGGTCTCCAAATCTCACTTGCCAAAGTATTTTGCTTCAGTTTTTGTTTGTTTTGTTTTTTTAAGTTGCTGTCATTTAAAGGTCTGGAGCTTTCACATGAAAATTTAGATTTCTTCAAAAACCAGATTTAAGAAACCAGATTTGTACATGGCAATAGTAAGTGATTTGCAGCTGCCTTCTCTACAAAAAGTAAGCCTCTCCAGTTTCCCATCCCCTTTTAGCCTCTGCAGCACTGAGACTTACTGTTGATTGACTTTATCATTTTATCATTTCTTTATTTGGGACATATTTTACTGAGGTATGTCAACCGCATTTGAATTTGTAAGTCCAGCTGTAGACGGTAAATGGGAGGAAGGAACTTAGTTTATTATATTACTTGTTTCCAGAATAAAATGTCATTTTGAGTGCTGCAAGGCAGTGCTGTGAACTGTTTTGTCAAAAAGCATGGTTACCTTCCATATTGTGAGCCTCAGAAGATGACAGCACTTCCAATATCCCTAAAGTCCCTTAAGTTGGTGAGCTGCAGTTTTGGCATCCGAATAGCCTGGATAATCATAATATTCCTGATCCTGCCTCCCACCTGGGATTATGAAAATGTGATAGGGAAATAAGAAAGTACTTTTGAACTGAAGAGCCTCTAAACAAACTAGTTGCAGTAGCTCTAAAATAGCAATTTTCTTATCTGGAGGTATAGATTTACTTTTATCTTCCAATGATCTCTCTTCCCAAAGTTGTTTTGGTTTTTTGTTGTTGTTTTGTGTTTTTATGTTTGTTTTTTGTTTTTTAAGAAAGAGAAGAGATATGGCTACAGACAAGAGATACTGTAATTGGGATTGATTTGGAAAAGAGTTTCAAAGTGCGGCAGCTGGGTGGATCAGTTGATTAAGCATCCAAATCTTGATTTCATCTCAGGTCGAGATCTCTGGGTAGTGATATCTAGCCCAGAGTCGGGCTCTGCACGCTCAGCAGGGTGTCTGCTTGAGATTTTCTCCTCCCCCTCCCTACCTCTTTAAGACAAATAAATCTTAAAAACAACAACAAAAAAAGAATTTAAAAATGTGCAATTGCCACTTTATATTACACAGAATTTTAACATGAGTTTAGTTTTTCAGAAATGTTCTCTTTATTTGATCTGATTGGAATACTCTTTTATTAAGTTCTCTGCCTTATTATTTTTTTCTTTGAGAAATTTCCCTTTGTTTAGAAGGTCTGTTCCTGGTGATTATACTTCGGATTCAGCCTTTTTTTCCATGTAAAATTCTGTTCGTTGCTATATGAATTCTAATAGGTATTATATATGTTGTGACAAAGTAATCACACTGAGGATTTTTATCTCTCATTCCACTGTATTTGTATTCAAAATAATTTGGATCCTCAGTCCTATACTACTATGTCTTCCTCCATTTGCCCATTTTTCAGAGCTTTTCTGTCACAAAACCAGAGGGTCTGCCGTGAGAAGGACACCAGGTGGGGAGACAAAGTCCCTGAATCCTGAAATTGGGAACAGAGTACTATCATATTGATTCTTGCCAAACACTGAGTGAATTTAAGCTGGGAACTCACTGTGTAATGTAAATATTCAGAATGGATTTGTATTTTCAAGCAGTATTCTATAAACATATTATCTAGAGATCAAAATACTGCCTTACCTTCCAAACTATCTCTTTCATGCTTCAAGGGATACCCTTTAATTCTTTTGAAATTTGAGTTTCTCATGAGATTTTAAGCTGTAATTTTATTTTCTGAATGTCCATATTAATGACAGATGATTGTAAACATCATTAATCTTTTTATTCTGAGTTTCATTGATTGCCTGAGTTTCTTGAAGTTCTTTTTTCTTTTAATAATATAGTCACCAAAGCTAACACTGTTGTTTAACCTTAGCAACCAAATAAAATTCTAGAGTTTTGGGCAGCTTGATATTGAAACAGTACTATGAGAGTTTCATTTAAGATCAGAGATCAGGGTAAAAAAAAAAAAAATCAGAGATCAGTAAATCCCATTCTACTTCGAGTTTCTTTCTTTCTTTCTTTCTTTCTTTCTTTCGTTCGTTTTTAAATTTTATTTATTTATTTGACAGAGAGAGATGCAGTGAGAGAGGGAACACAAGCAGACTTCTGAGCAGGGAGCCCAATGTCGGGCTCAATCCTAAGGCCCTGGAATCATGACCTGAGCTAAAGGCAGATGCTTAACAACTGTCTCACCCAGGCACCCCTACTTCTAGTTTCTATCATACTTGGTAACCACACTGATAATTTTTCATAGACTTATCCTCACAGTTTCTCTCTCCCTTGATCATCAGCCTTCTTCCAGAGACATTAACTCTTTCTCTAGACTCCCCATATGTGATGTAAATAAACTCCTCTTTATTCCTTCTTCTTAAAGAACATTCTGCCTCCTGATATTTGGAGCCTAACTCTCCCATAAGGCCACTGCTTTCCCAGCAGCTCACCACATTGGAAGTCATGCCCCACATACCACAGGGGGCATTGATATGCTCCATCTCCTCATTGCCATTGTTAGGCCACTCCATCCTACCCTTGTAAAACATAATGGAATCCCTTGTGTAATTACCATCTACCTTTCTCTTCACCATTGTTTATCAGCTCCCTCCTTACTCCCTCATTTTTTAAAATGAATTTAGTACCCAACTTAGTCTTCATTACTCAAGTCCTACAAGACCATGATGAAACTAAAGCAGTCACGTGCATCACATTTCCAGCACCTGAGATGACTGTCTATGGGACCTCAATATCTAAGACTATTCCATATTAAAAATCCTAAATTCTAGCATTCTCCTCTCGTTTGTCTATTCCTCTCTCCCTCTTCCTTATTTTTCTATATTTAATCTGCGACCTCATAAAGATCCTGTCCTTCGACTAGTATTTTATCATCATCAGCCTCTATGTAGAATTACTTTATTTCTTGTCTAGCCACACTGCTTGGTTCATTATTTACTCACACCAGTATCTAAAATTTCCTTGCCTTTTGTCTTTCTCTGCTTTTGCTTTCTGCTCTAATTCAGTTTAGTCATTTGCTTTTTCAACTCATATATCTAAAGATAATCAAGGTCTAGTACTGA